AGAGAGAGAGAGAGAGACTGAAGGGCCTTATTATCATTGACTTCCCAAATGCTTTGACTCTCACTGCCATCTCGTGCCCTACCTCTTCGGCTGAGAACCCTTTGGGGCAAAGGGGAAGGGGCCTGGAAGAGCCACCCTGGTGCTGTCCAGAGTCAGGGAAGGGAGGCTGTGCAGAGACGGGTGCGTTGTGCGTGAACTGCCCCAGGGGCCCCACCATCACGCCAGGAGGCTCCCAGGGCACAATAGGGACAACCCACTCAGTTCCCCACCTCGAAGAGGGCAAGAAAAGCACCAGTAAACACAGAGGCACTAGGTAAGTGCGAGTGGGACTGGAACTGGAGCGGTGATGATATAATATCTTGACTAGACACAGGAAGCAACTGAGAGACTCCCTATCTAGAGGTGCAGGGATGGGGTTCATCCAAGTCAGCATGCAGGGTGAGAAGGGCTTTGCCCTAGTCCTCTGGGTATATAGGGTGTGTCAGGTGTGACTCCACAGTACAACAGGACTCCCCCCAGAGTGACCCCCACACGGGAGTCTGCAGTGTGTTCCCCTGACACCCTCTGTCCTGACATTGCCATGAGGCTGTGCAGGGCGATCTGGGTTGAATTCAGCAGACCAAGGTTCAAACCTCAATTCTTTGTTTCTGAGCTGAAGCAGTAGCTCAATGTTAAGGCTGGGGAACATTGCTGCGTTTTCTTTTGCACTGGACCCCTGGTTCACTGGACCCACTTTCCCACCTCAGATTTAGGACCTCTAAGTGTGAAGAAATTAATGTTTCTGTAGAAATAAAGCCTTTTGCTTAAAAAAAAAAATGGGGAAGAATGGCAGGGTACAATCTTGAGAACCGAAAATAGTGTGTTGAATTTTGTAGCGTTCTGAACTAGGTTCTTTTCTCCAACACTGGACGCTCACCTCTCCCCTGAGCCAGCCGGTGGCTCCCACCCTCTGTGTTTCCTGTGTCCCAGCCGCTCTTTTTCCCTCGATGCCGGGACGTCAGTTCTACAGAGCCTTCCGCCGTCAATGCTCATTCCAACCCCCTCCAGTTCTCTCCTTGCTCTGCTCTGTTTTCCGCATTCCGTGCAAGGTACTTAAGCATTCTGCTCCCTTCTGAGGCTGTGCTGTGTGAAGGGATGAGACACTGCGCAGAATTAGACACACCTGGATTTAAAACCGATTCTCCCACTGACGACTGACCAGTTATGTGACCCCCAGGAGGTTCCATCTTTGGATCTCACTTTCATTATGGTTAAAATGGGGAAAATATTTTGCATCTCTTTGGGAGGTCTCATGTCCTACTCCAGCAAATAGCGTATTAGTCAGTGCTTACTAGAGAAACAGATTTAATGCAAGATATACAAATATATAAGAATTTACAAGATTGGTTTACAGTCTGGTGCGGAAGAGTGCAAAAGGTCTGTCTGCGCGCTGGAAACCCGAAGGATCCAGTCACAGGCCTGGAGCTCAGTGTAGTGTCCTGCGTGAGTCTGTATTGGGAGGCTGAAGGGTCTGCATTGGAGGCCAGGAGGCGATGTGCAAGGTGAAACCAAAGACTGGAGCTCCTGTGAAGAAACAGAGCGACCCTTCCTCTTTGTTTCCCTTTTGTACCATTCCGGCTTCGATCCTCCGTAGGCTGGGTCCTCCACACTTAGAGCTATGCTGAGCCGGTTTGGTTCTTTCTCACTCAAGTGGACACGATCAGTTATCTATCACTGTCCTAAAGAGGTTTCCACAATGAACGGTGGCTTTCTTCTAGCAGGCTGATTCTCCCAGATCTCATACTCCTACTGAGCCCAGCCACAGAGGCCCCAAGGACCCACCTGGATGGCACCAAGTTGAAGTCATCTTTCTATGACCCTGAGGGCTGCTCTGATATGCGCAGCATCCTTCTGTCCCTACACATGGCAAAGTGACACTGCCGCAGCTCAAATATTCTGCAGCGCCTCCATCTGGAGCTGGACTGGGCCTGTGTCCAAAATCATAATCATTTTCAGAGTGTGATTATGCATTACAACCCAAAGAGGCCAGCCAAGGCCCAGAAAGAAGGGTGACAGGGTAAAAGGAAATGTGCTTCCAGGACACTTGGACCCAGCTTTCTGCTGTGTCACTAACCATCGTGTCTTTGGGCACAAACTTTAGGCTGTCTCCATTTCAACTGTAGAATGCTGCTTGACTTATAGTGGGGTTACATCCAAGAAACCCACTGTAAATTGGAAATGTTGAAAGTTGATAAAGCATTAACCTCCTAAGCATCACAGCTTAGCCACATGGCATGAGAGCAGCAGTGGTTTCCCCTTGTGATGCATGGGTCCTGAGCAAGGACCACACCCTGCATCACTAGCCCAGAAAAAGATCAAAACTTAAACACAGTTGCTACTGAATGGTTTCTCTTTTGCACCACTGCCAAGTCAAACACTCCTGAGTTGAATCATTGTAAGTTGGGAACCATCTGTCACAGAACCTCCTCACTTCCCTTCTCTCATCCACCCACCTTTCCTTCCACAAACACAAACTAAGCATCTGGGTAGTAGAGATACAGAAGTGAGTGGAAACACACTACAAAGCCATCATGGAACTCATCGCCTGATGAAGCAGAGTGTGTTCTTCGCATCAACAGATGCAGGATCCCAGCCCTGACGAGCACTCTGTAGGAGAGACCGTGATGCCGCTTGCCTTGTGGCAGGACTGAACGAGGCGGTGTGTTAGGGCAGCATTTCCATGAAGCTATAGCTGAACAGCACTCTGAAGGCCAAAGGATCAGTCACTGGCTGAGACAGTGTGGGAGAGATTTCTAGGCAGAGAGCAAGGTTAGTGCAAAGCTTCACAGATGGGGACAAGGGTCTTGGTATTATAAACTGCTGAGTTAGGTAGAAATATTCTAGGCAGTCAGATGGGGCTGGGCCCTTGACAGAGTCGGTGCAAGATGAAAACTCATTACAACTGTGGCCAGAGACACATCTGTTGGAGGCCAGGCCTCAAGATAAAGACAGAATGACTAAACCTATCAGATAAATAATCCTTAGTTACTGTGGGCTGATCAGGCCCGCAATCTCCCAAGTGAGTGGATGGCGAATGCTTAAATAAATGAGACAACTGAAATGACTTTAGGGCTCCAGGAGGGTCTCTCTCTCTTACATCTTCGATATTCTCTGGGTTTAGAGCAAGACTTCTCTGGGCAGCCTGTATTTATTTGGTTTACAAACAAAGGAGGGGGATACTCCAAAAAACTCTGGGGAATCTGAGCAAGACCTGGGAAACCCTTTAAGGACTTCTTCAGGTAATACATTATGTTAATTTAGGAGAACTATGTTATCTCCAGAGAGACCTTCACTGCAGGAGAGAGATCTCTGCAGCTACAGTCTCCTTTAAGTTAATTGGGGTTGGAGCCAGATGTCCTCAGCTGTGGCCTTATCTTGTCCTTTGAGGTGTCACAACTTCACAGCCCAATACAGGCCTCAGGGTGGCCAGGGACTCACAGAGGTTTACTTACTATGAGTCCACTGCCCATCTTCAGACAAGGTGCCTAAGCTTCAGACAACTCACAAGTAAACATGGAAAGCCAGTTGGTTAATATTAAATCCTGCTCAGAGCTACTTTGTAGTGGTCTCTAACACAGACCTTCATGCTTCCCCAAAGGCTAAGTGGTAACACCTCGTCCAATGAAGTCCAGATGGACATCAGTCACCTCAGTGGCTGACCCAGACCCTCAGACTCATCCCTTCCTAAAAAGTCCTTTGTTCTTTCCATGCTCACTTGCTACATGACTTGCTTCCCCACTGGATCAATATTACTTAAGCAGCTATACTTATAATCTTATTGTTGATCATAGTCTTAACCCACTTTGTACATGGTTGTGCTCTATTAAACTTCCCCTGAAAAGCGGGGTCCTTGACAACTCACTTGGGGCCCCTCCTGCCTCTCAGGAGCTGTATCCCCCCCAATAAATGTTTCCTACTCTTAACCTCTGCTGTTCCTTAGACTTCATTCTTTGATTTTGGGGAACGTGTACTCAGCATATCAGGCATCTAGCAGGTTGGGAATTATAATATTTCCCCTATATCATTTGGAGGTCCTATATCAACCCTATATCAGTGGAGGAGCTAGAAAGCCAGGGGACACTGAGTGGACGCTGGGGGAGGGTGCTGGAAGGGCAGGGGACAACTCTTGGAAAGGACTTAGCCTTTGGTATCTGAGAGCAATTGAAAGCCCTCATATTGTCTTAGAGGAGAGGATGGACATCCAGTGTGCAGTTGTCAGAAGAGTGTGTCCGCTAACACCTGACCTCCCAAGTCACTTACCGCATTAAAGTCACGTAGCCTGTACTGGACACCGGAGACGCAGCAGCGGACATTTGGGCAGACAAAGGAGACGAGGGGAATCCGGAAGGTGGAGTGCTGTCTTACAGTGCAGGCCTAGGCACTGTCACACACATCCTGGGGCTCTGTCCCTCGACTTCAGAGAACTGGGCAGCTGAGATCGGAGGGGAGCTCCAGGCAGGTGTCCCAAGGAAGAAAGAAGGCGCTCCCAGGTCTCTCCCTGCAGACACCTGGCCTCCTTCGTGACTGAGATCAGCAGCTGTTTGGAGTTTTTGCTGAGCTCATCGTGTCCGCTAAGCCAGAGAGAAGGGCCCACCCTCTGAGAAGGTAAAATGCAAATGTTCATGACTGAAACTCGCTTCAACCCTTGTGGCTCATGAAGGCGTATTCTGTTGAGATAACTGGAGCTTCCACCCTTTCCTGCATTAAATCCGGGTCTGCCTGCCTGGCCGCAACAGCGAAGAGAGGACACTTGCTGTCCCATCATGGGCAAATTGCCCAGTGCTGCTGATCCTGAGTTTATGTACCTGTAAATTGGCGATAATGGCACCTCCCTCACTGGATTGCGTAAGAAAATGTACGTACTGCACTTGGCACAGTGCTACTGCCTGTGGCAGCAGCTGCTACTATGGCAATTGTCTGTATGTGTGAGACAGCTACGGGGCTTCCCTAGGAACCAGAAAGACTGTGAGCAGATAGCACGGTAGGCACAGAGGCCCCGGGAGTGGCGGGGACTGTGGCAAACTGGAGAATGCCTGCCTGTCCCAGGAGCGCAGCAATCCAGCCCACCGGCTGCTAACTTAGCCAAGAACTCCAAACAAATACATCGTTTGATTTTTCCAGACAAGGTGGGCATTCTAATGTATAACATTGGTATCCAACTAAAAATTCAAAAGCTTACAAATAATAACTCAAACTGACTACCCTCTGGAACACAAGTGCCTGGAGCAACGCTGACCTGAAGGCAACCAAGATAAAGATTCCCAAAGGCCAAGTTGTCACGGGAGGTAGGGCCTGCGCCACAGACGGGACACTAAAAGTGCAGGGAAGTCCAAAAAGCTGAGTCCAAAGGAGCCATCGAAATGAGCGCTGTGACGCGGCAGACGCAGCAGCATCACTCGGTGAGTTTTGAAGCGGGGATACTCGGATAGCTTTCTGTACTAGGGCAGTCGTGTAAAGACGGCGACAGCCTTGAACATCCGCGGCTCTGGGCCCCCCTGTGAGCCTGAGGCTGTTCACAGAGCGGCTCTGAGGGGTGGCAATACCACTAATGTCCACTGGGTGTCTCTCTCATACAAATCATGGCACTGCCTCCCGCGCTGTAGAGGAAATGACAGTCCTGGGACTCCGTGAAATCGGATGTGGGCCAGTCCAGGCCTCGTGGGGAAGATGGCTGGAGCTTGGTAGCTCTTCACAGACACGTGACAGTTAAATGTTCACAGGAGCCAGCCTTGTGCCAACCAGCCAGGCTTCTCCTGGAGAGCAAAAGCCCTTGGTGATGTTCCCTGTGCACCAGGATTTCAGAAGAATCTTGAGTTTCCGTGTAGTATTAGTCCCGGTGCTTTCCACTTCTGTCAGACCTGGCACCCAGGCCCCTGCTGCCGCCTCTCCAGATGGAGCCGAACAGGAAATGTGCTCCAGACGTCAGGGGCTGCCCCCTTTAGGAGCAGGGTCTTCTGGTCAGAGTCCTGGATTATAGGTCAGAGGTCTAGGCTTGGGCTGATTCTGCCATTCACTAGCCATGTAACCTTGGGCAAGCCTTTCCTTTTTTCCCCCCTTTCTTTCTGGTGCTGGAGATTTGTACTAGGGCCTTTGTACTAGGCTACACCTCTGAATATTTTTGAATTTTTTATTTAGAGACAGGGTCACACCAAGTTGCTAAGGTGCCTGGGCTGGACTTGAACTAGGAGTCTTCCTGCCTCAGTCTCCCAGAGTGTTGGGATTACAGGTGTGTGTCACCACACCTTTGCTTTTCTGGGTGTTTCCCACGTGTAAAGTGGGGCTAACACTAACTTCAGAAAGGTTCTCCAGTATTAAATGGAAATGCATGCATGTGCAATGCTGAACACTGGAAGACGTGAATTGTTTGCATTATTACTTTGCAGCAGGACTTGACAAATGTGTTCCATAAAGAGCCAGATGGTGAGCAGTTTTGGCTTTACTGGCCTTATAGTCTCTGTCTCAACTGCTTGTACATATGCAGATTAGTGTGTCTATGTTTCAATCAAGTATTATTTTACAAAAACAGGCCATGGGCTGGCCTCGGGCTCAGGGACTGTGCTTCGCCGACTCTTACAGCCTGCTTCGGAGGCCTCTGAGCTAGGAATGGCTTTTATGTTTGTAAAGGGTTGTAGGAAAAAAGCAAAGAATAGGCAACAGAGACCAGGCTGTGTGGCGCACAAGCCCGAAGTGTTTACCGCCTGGCTCTTTGCAGAAGCAAGCAGCACAGAAGGTCGTGCGCCTCGGGAGAGCCTCGGCTCTGAAAACTGCAGTCCCTGAGTGTGAGCCCTGACTAGAGGGTCAAAATAAGACACGGAGGCAGAGGACCCCAGGACCCATCCACAGCGTCCCGGGCTCCTTACACCTTTCACGGCAGAGCTCTGGGGCTGGACAAGGGAGGAGAAACGCAGTCTCCTAGCTCTCTTTTAGGGTCTCTCTCAGGTGGGTCTCAGGAGTATCAGTCTGCATCACAAAATGAGCCAATAGCCCTGTGAGAGGACTTACACATCCCACACTGCTCCGGGACGTGAGACCAGGCTTCCACCCGGCGCTTTGGGGCGCTCTGAACTCCAGCACTAGTGCATGCTGTGACACAGACAGGGCCAGGGGCTCCTGTCAGGCCAGAGACCTGCCCCCAGAGCCGTGGTGCTTCTTCTTTGTTTTGGATCCAGTCACACGCACAGCAGAGTCATCGGGTACCGGGCCCCAGGGTGGCAGCCCCAAAGAGCAGCAAGAGGGGCCGCAGCTGAGGGAAGCGACTGTGCCCGCTGGGTAATGGCCCTCAGCAGCGAGCTCAGGCGGAGGGAGCCTGGGAGCTGCGGTTTGGAAGCGCCTGCGTGTGTGCTCTGGGGTGAGGGTGCGTGTGGCGGGGAGGGAGGGCGCGTGCTCATTTGCTGTCACGATGCCTGTCAGGTAAGCAGGGCTGCTCAGCCCTACTGAGTTCCCCTGGCCGCCGAGAGGAGCCGGTGGTTTTTCCCAGTACTGTTATAGGGCACGCAGTCAGGATAGACCTGGGGCCGCCCAGACCGGAGAAGGCTTCAGCAGGGCCTCCCTTTCTCTTAAATCGCTCTCTCAAACAGTGCCTGCCCAAAGAACAGTCCAGGAGAAAAGACTCATTTACTGCTCTTTGTGACTCTGAAAACAATACGTATTTACTACAGGAAGCCTTTAAAAGAGAGAAATGTGTAAAGAAGAAAATGCACAGAGTGATTTTAGAGTCAAAAGCAATTGGAGTAATTCAGAAGCCAATTATTTACTGAATTTCTACCACAGGCCAGCACTATTCTCAGTGCTGGTGTCACAGCCCTGGAATAAACAAAGCCCTCGCCCTCGCAGAGCTTGTGTCCTGTGAGGGAAGACAGTCACAGAGGAGAGGACGCGGCCGGAGGCTCCTGGAACAGGGCACCGTTTGTGAGTGGGTGGTTAGATTGAGGAAGTGCGTGGGAATCTGGGAAGGGCGCTTTGGGCAGATGAACATGAAGGGCCCAGGCATTCCTGGCAAGAGCTGCTTGGGAGGGGCAAGATCTGGAGGAGGGCAGTATGGCTGGAGAGGAGGCAGTGGACTGGAGCATGTGGGGACACGCAAGTGTCATTGAGTGAAATGGGAACCCACGGAGGGTCTGGAACAGAAGGACATGACTGGCCTTGTTTATTTTTAAAATAATCACTGTGGACACTGGATGAAAAATAAGGGCTGGAGGTGGGAGTTGACTAGGGTAGAAGCTGGGAAACCAGTTAAGGGGCTATGACAATAGTAATAGCAAGCAGAACTGCCTGGTTGAAGGGGGAGGCAGTGACCGCCTCCTTGTCCCCATGTACCCCTCCCATGAGGCTTCCACTCTTCCCTCTTACGGGTCCCTGCCTTCCACTGGGGAACCCTAAGCTGCCAAGGCACAGTTTGGAAACTGAGGGCCTGGGGGCTTCTAAGGGCTCCTCCAGCGCCAGGCTTCTGTGTCTCACGGCCCTGTTTGTTAAGTTGTGGGACGCTGCCTCGTTCTGTGGACAGGCTCGGTCTCCACCAGCCAGGCCTCTGAAAATGTCAACTTGAAACCTGGACACGTGTAAGAAGGAGAGAGATTCTGAAAATTAATTCAGCTCCCACATAAAACATGTGGCTGGCACGGGTAGGGATTATAATGAGGAGTGAGATATATAAAAGAAAATTCTGTCCCAAGAGGGTCATCGGCTGGGATGGGAGCCAGGAAGTCACACTGAGCGCAGATGCACGGTTGAGGGGTCCTGGTCCACCCTTACCTTGCATTTCGTCCTGGTGCCTCCTGGGCCCATGTGTCCCAAGCCGACCCCATCGTCTCAGGAGCTTTGAAACCTGTGGACTCCCAGGTTGCTATTTCCAAGGTTCTAAGACAACTGGGCCTGGGTAGGGCCCGGGAATTTGTATATTAAAAACCTTCCGGGGAGAAGCGGATGAGTCCCTGGGTTTGCGAACCATGGGAGGAATTCCCAGTCTCCTCAGCCACCTAAGCCCACCCACGTGGATTCCCCACATGTGGGTTAACTCCTGTTGCCTCAGAAAATCTCACTGAGCCGCTGGCCTGTGAAACCATCTGTGGGTCTGAACTAGTCCAAAAATACAAGCAACCCTGGAGAAAACGCTCGCTGAGGGCGAACTGCTCTGGAAGGAAAGACATGAGGAAAGGCCTCCTGGAAAGTGGGCCTTAAAATTCACTCCAGGACCTGAGGAAAATCAGACATTTTCCTATAGGAGAGGAAGGAAGGGAATGGAAGAGATGGAGAAAAGAAGGTGCATTTAATGTGAATGAGTGATAATTTTTTTCTCAGTTACCAAGAACAAAATAGTGTCAACAAACCAGACCACAGCCATCGACGAGAAAGATTTCTCTGAGTCAGACTTCTTTCCTGGAAGCTGTGAACTTTATCTCCCAGCAGCCATTAATCTAATATTAAGCCCCTTAACCTCCCTAATTGTTCTCTTTCAGTATCAGCTGGTTTCATATTAACCTTTCAGTGTTTCTCCTAATGCAGTTACCTCCACCCTGAGCCAGACCCGGTTTAGGAGCTGCAGCCAGCTCAGAACTATGCTTCTTGCTGCAGCCCCCACCCATCCCGCAAAGCTGCCCTGTCTTCCTCCAAGAGCTGTGAAGGAGGCCCCGGACACGGTGTGCAGCACCAGGACGGGGGCTGGACGGAGCCTAAAGGACACGTTCTGAAGCCAGCACCTTGTGTTTGGGTTCTCATAGTGACTCTGCTAGTACTGGGGACCAAGGCTATCAGTGGGAAGCAACAAGGGCCGCTTAGCCTCAGGCTGGTTGTGTGCTCTGCTATTTGAGCTTTTCTCCTTCTCTCCCAGGAAGAACTCATGAAGTAGTAGTTGGACAAGGCAAAGCATCTGACCAGATGCGGAGGAACATTGTACCCATCTATCTTGAGTTCGCACTGTACATGTGAGACCCATCAGCTCTAAGACAGCCTGTGTTTCAGTCTCCAAAACAGCCAAATCGCAAGTACCGTCTTATGGGGTCCACCCCGCAGCCTGAATTCAAATTCTGACTTTTCCTACAGAAAGTGACATTTTTGGAAAGATGGCCTTTGGCACTTTGGCAACTGCTAAAATATATATCAAGTATATATATATACATGAAATCACATACCAAAAAATGTAAGTAGTGGGGGTCTTTGTTCCATGGGACACACACTAGCATATGTCTCTCTTACAGCCAGGGTAGAAAGCTAGAAACTACCTTAAACCTCACTATCTGAACCCTCGTGTCGTGGAGCCAGGGCCTTAGGATTGAGTGAGGGTCAGAGGGGTGAAAGTGCATAAGTGGGCTCCTCCAGCCTCACTGGCCTCTGTTGGGCAGAATAGGAAAACCAGGGTGGTGGGACTCCGGCAGCACAGCAGGGGAAGGGGAGTGGCAGCTCCTTCCCGACCCGGCCCAGGCAGAGGCATTCCTTCCCAGCCACATGATCAAAGCCAGCTCTTGCAGGGTGTCCACCTGCAGGCTACTTGGCATGTGTTTTTGCCCAGTGAGGTCACTCCACCCAGCATCACCCCAAGCTTAAGAAGGACCCCCTCACTGGAATACCCCTGAGAGTAGGAAACAAGAGACCCGCCTCCATCTCCAGGTAGGTGTCACCCACCTGGGCGTGTGCGCATGCGTGAACCCAAAGCCTGTGCCCACCTTCTGCCCGCGTTCCGGGATCCCTCCTCTGGCTCATCACACTTGGCAGCAGCAGCGCCCATCTTCATGACGGACACAGGCCTGGGCAGAGACTTGGGGAAGTCAGCCCTCACCCTCACCCCTGGGCTGTGGGGTGCTCTCTGGACAGCTCTGGCCTGCACACTCAGCCAGCATTTCCATCCTGGCTCCCGGGGTGGTGTCTTGCTAGGCGCTGCCCCCGCCCCAAAGCATGCTGACTTCCAGCCCTTTCTTACCTGAGTGAGGACAGGATGGGGAACAGGTTCCAGAAGAAGGGGTTAGGTACCAAATCAGTCTCACCCTGGATGTAGCAGCTCGCTTGACAGATGGGTGGCTTCATATCCACACCCCACACCTGACGTCATCCTAAAACTCACACCGAAGAGGTCAGGTTCCTCTCTGCTGTGAGACCTGCCACCAGCAGGGCAGTCGCACACAGATCTTCCCCTGGGAACGCAGAAGGGCCCTGCCTGCCCTGGAAGTGAACACAGTTCTGGGAGACAGGCAACTGAGACTAAAGATGAACTTGAGACATAATTATGAGTTAATAAATAAAAACTTTAAAATAACCAAGTACTGTTTTCTAGTTCTTCCCTTATAATATCAGAGAATTTTAGGTAATGGAAGCTTTAGCATTTTGTTTCTTTCTGCTGGGTTACCAGTGTCCAAAATTAGATCCAGAGCTGTCCAATTTGATCATTGTTCCAGGCTGATTATTTCTCATGAAGGAGGACTGAGTAGGTTTCCCTGGCCAGGCCAGGAGGCCGATCCACCCATTTCTCTGAGTGCCATTTATGAGGCACCTGTGGTCAGCCAAGCTTGGCTTGGGGTCCGTGGGAAGACAGCCATGCAGCCCAGATGTGCTCCCACGGGCTGGGTACTGCCTGATAACAGAAACAAAAAAAGAACAAGGAGGAACAAAGCAAGTGAGCAAGTGAGTCAACGCAAATGAATTAAGTACAAACTCACTGGGAATAGGAGGGTTTTGATTGGACAGAGGGGTTGGCCAGGCATGGTTAACCTGGAATTGAAGAAGTGTTTTAACTTGGACTTAGATGCAGAGAAGCCAGAGGAGGCTTCCGTATGGGTGAGGTGGTAGTGGGGTGGTGGGGTGTCAGAAAGTGAGGCCTTATACAGTTGTGAGTAGGAAGAAGGGCAGAGGGACCAAACAGGCTGAGAGAAGCCAGTCACTAGTCTAGAGTGCCTGGCTCAGGATCCCTGCGGCCCTTCTCCCCCACATCCCCCAGTGCACACAGCATCTCCTTTCTCTCAGGCACAGGCTGATGCCTGGGGTGGTACAGTCATTTCCATAGCAACCAATTGTTCTGTCGTATGATTCTGACTCTGGGAACAGAAGGGACACATGAAACCACTAGGTGACACAGATCTCATTTTCCAAGAAGTGTCCCCGCTAATAAAGAAGAGAAAATGTACACACTAGAAGACAAATGGAACAGGCATAAGCAAGTACTAAATTTTCCATGAGCATCAGCTGTTTGCTACAAACAACAATAACAAGCTAATAGGCTCAACAAGAGCAGCGCTGGGTGAAGACAGCCCAGAGTGGCCCCTGGGAGTCTTCAGAGCACAGTCAGTGGCAGGGCCTGGGGATTAGAAGGCAGAGCGGAGAGACACTAAAAGCATCTCCCAGATTCCGCACGCATCCCAAGGCCAGTACTGGCAACGTTGCTGTTGTGAAGGCAGCAGGCACTAACAGGTCCCAGCTTTGTGAATCCAAGGATGTGTATCCGTGCTAGCTACAGTGTAGTAGCCCTAGCACAGCCTAGCTAATTAGAACTCACTGGGAGAAAAGCTAGCCTGAATTCCAAGGTATCTTTGGAGCAAAGCACATTCCAGCTCTAAAGGCAGGGCTGAGGTGGTGCAGGTAGCAGCGGGCAAAATGTCTGGCATAGCCCGAGGCTGTGGCTCACGTTCTGGATGACCTTAGCAGGTCCCTCACGTGCCTTGGTCTTCATCTTATAAAGGAGGGACTTGCATTAGTGCTCCGTGCAAGCCAGAGAGCTGCTTTAAGTGACAAAACTTACAGGTTGATTTGACAGGTTGAGTGTTTTCATAGAGCAGAACTGAGACCATTTCTCACTCACCCTCCATCTGCACCTTCAGTTACTATTCACCAATCATTGCTATGTGACAATCAAGGACTGGGAGTCAGAAATAAAGGGGGGAAGCAGTGGCACCTTTGGAATCCTCACATCCTGGTAACAGGAGGGACAAGAAGGTGCACACTCACATCCGTAGGCCCGGGCTGGCATCCAAGTATGGGTTAGGGAAAGGCACCTCAGGATGAGGCTGGAGTGCTCTCTCCGTGCCCCAGGTATGGCTGGAAGGAGAAGCAGGGGCAGCTCGGAGATGGGGCAGCAAGCTGGTGGGGGGCAGTGCTGAGCAGGTACCACTCTGATGTCATCATTTTTTTTACAAATTTACCTCCAGATCAATGGAGCACTCCGAGAGGAGGGGCAACCCCTTAAGAGCAAAGAAATACAGCAGAATCTCAGGGAGAAAAGGATGAGCTCCGGGGACTGTGCGGGCAGATTGCCACTAGAGGAGATTTGAGGTGACGCTGGCAACTGGGGTGAGCACCCAGGACCAAGGGAACAGGTGAGACACACAGGGGCCTGAGACGTGGTTTTAGCCCAGAACAATGTCTGTGTCCTCACCTGGAAAGATCTGGGAGACGATTAAACCCTGTGGCCACAGGTAAGTCTTGGCAAGGACACAACCACCTGTCACTGTCTTCTGGGCTTTGGTACTTAACAGAATCCCAGAAACTCCCAGGGACTGAGAATTAGCCTATTAATCATTCCACACCTGTTTACCAGCAACAACTAGGTATTTTCCATTATGCTGAGACTTGTCTGGCTCAACAAAGGCAGTGTCCATGCCCTCGAGGCATTTAGAGTAGGGTGGGAGTTACACACACACTTGATAGTTCATAGGAGATAAATTATATTCTATTTAAGAGCTAAGTCACAGGTGGGCATGGTGGCAAATGACTGATCCCAGCTATTCAGGTGGCTAAGACGGGTGGATTGTAAGTTCAAAGCCAACCTGTGTAACAGGGTAAGACACTGCCTCCAGAAAATGAAAAGGCCCAAGTCAGGGGTGCAAGCAGAAAGATTACAGGAGAGATTGAGAGAGAAAGAGAGAGAGAGAGAGAGAGAGAGAGAGAGAGAGAGAGAGAGAGAGAGAGAGAGAGAGACTGACAGAGACAGAGATGGAGACACAGAGACAGAGACAGACAGAGAATCCCTCAGGACTGGCTAATCAGAAAGTCTTCATGGGGAAAGTGGAATTCATGTGGGATTGAAGAATAGACAGATGGAGAGAAAAATGTCAAAACAAAGGTGTGTTTGGGTGAGACAACGCTTGCAGAAGCACACATTCAGCAACTGCTACCAGCACGTAGCACTGGCCTCAGAGGAAGCTTGGGTCCTGGCAGGGAAAGGGACCCTCTCTGTCACTGGAAGACACTTCACTGTCAGCCTAGACCCAGGTTTGACTCTTGCATCTGTAGTTTAGCAGCCTTATGGCCTGCGTGGACGCCTTCATTTCTGGGTGCTTCTGCCATTGCCTCATCTATAAAATGAGCGTGAGGATGTTTGTCTCAAGGACTTTGGGGAAGGTGGACAACAGATGAAGGACCTCCAGAAATAGCAGTCCCCTCTCACCTTCCTGGGCCATCAGTAATGCCACAATTGAGACCCAAGGGGATAAATATTCCAGAAGTCCTCTAAGTGCCCTTTAGAAGTAAGTATACAGACTGATCAGTGAGGAAAAAAATATGTTCTCTTCCAGTCTCTGGGGTGAGTTGACCATGCACTCTTGTCTCCGGATGTTTGACTTCCTGAATCTTCTCTGAACAATGCCATCTCTGTCCTGGCACCCTGGCAAGCAGTCCCATGAGAGCCAGGTTCTTGTCACATGTCCTCTTCCTGGAGTGAGTCACTGGAGAATTGAGCTGTAGTCATAACCTTCACCGGAGAAGGGCAGTGAAAGTGGCAGGGAGTGAACACAAACGAGGTACAACTTGGTGCTTAATGTTCCCTTCCATCAACATTTTGCCCCGGGCCTTAACCTTGCAACTCAAAAGTACCGTGGAATAATGAATGGGATAAACTGAATGACCTGCTTGTAGTCCACAAACAAAGAACCTTTCAGCAGCCCGTGGTCTTATCTGTTCCAATCAAGACTAGCCTGTTACAAACCAGAGGGAGAATGGGAGATCTGAGAGAAATGTCTTAGTCTTAACAGAAAATTAGACAAGCCATTTTGTTATCTTCTCAGGAAAAGTGATAACAGAAAAAAGAGAAAATCTAAATAACTGTAGGAAACCCACCTAGAATTTGAATGTTGAGAACTGACAGCATGTCTTTCTCTTTTGGTTGTTAAGCACAGTTTTAGGATGACAAACATAAAATAAAAATCAATAGCCATCTTATCGATGTGCAGCCTTCAAGATCTATTTCTCAAGCCTAGGTGTGCGCTTGGTGGTGGGTGGTGTCTTCACCCTGGATCACTGCTGTGATAGGGCAGAGAAACAGTAGAGTGAAAATGGGGATCAGGTAGGTCCCACCCTGCGCTCTGCTGTGTGGCCTTGGTGTGTGCCCATGCAGGACCTCACTCTCTGGGGTTCTTTATCTGAAAAATGAAGTTTGTTCAGATAATTTAATATTTTCTTTTACACACCCCCTGGCTTCAATGTTTATGGCTGTTCTGATAAAAAAGAGATGACAGTAATTCTTACCAGTACCACTCCGTCACCCTTCACAGTGTCCTAAATACGGGCCCAGTATGGGCTCCCCTTCATAGTGTGTTCAAATGAAGCTCCCTTGTTTGCTCTGAGTAGTACAAACGGTCACCCCAATTTTCTGAATTTCAGCAGGCCCAGTGGGTCATTCCATGAGCTGCTCAAATTCACATCTTATTCTCAACTGATTCTTTTCTGCGGAGCCCCAGCTTCACTCTGCCAGTCAGTTCTTCTGACCTTCGACCCAGGAACGAGTGCGAGCACGCATGGGCCCTGCTCTGCGGAAGCGCACCTTCCAGTCAGCATGCAGACCTATCTGCAGACCAAGCCTGAGCGAAACATAAAGGCTTCCCTGTGACAACCCATGGGAGGGCAGGGGCATTCTGGCTTGGGTAAACTTCCTGGAGGAGAACACATTTGTACTGAACTTGTGAGACAGGTAGAGCTGAGTTAGGAGGCTGACACCAAGGAAGAAAATATGCTGAGGGCAGGACAAAGGCACAGGGGCCGAGCAGTGTGGCGCACATGAGGAGTGACAAGGGGCCCTTGCTGGCTGGAGCTTCTAGTGTCTGAAGGAGTGGAGCTCAGAAACTCAGGCAAAGGCCTGCTCATAGTCTTCAGAATTCTGAGGAACTTAGGCTTGCGGGGGAACAGGCATCCTGCTCAGGGACATGTCACAGTGATGCCTGGAGCTCATGCAGGGTGTCCCGTCAGCAGAGGGCTCGACAGAATAGAGTGGAGGAGGAAAGAGCCACAGGGGTTATGACAGTGACCAGATGAGGGGTCACGGGGGCCTGAGGTCCAGTGTGAGAGCAGGGCTGGAAAGGAGGAACGCTTTGGAAGGCCCTGGAGCGGCATAGAGTGGGATTCCACAACAGATGGGATACGGGGATACGGAAGGTCACAAGAGAGCAAGAGAGCTCTGCACTCTTGCTACAAACAACTCTGCAACCCAGAGTGCAACCCAGTCGCCTTGACATGCCAGGCTCCCAAGATAACTTATCCTGGGGTTGTGGTCTGAAGTTCCCTGATGGAGAAGACACCAGGGAAATTGGCCAACTATGGAGAACTGTGCATTATTCCCTACTATCTGCTTTCCTTCATTAAAAATAGAACCCCTACTTACCTGGACACATACCTTGTAGCCTTATTCGGCATAAAGATTTTTTTTTAAACCTTTATTGATTCTAGGCAAGGCCGAGTGATAACGTCTGACCAATGATTGCAATCAGAAGTGTCAGACTTCTGTAAAATAGTGTTTTCCTGATGGCCAGAAGGCAAAACAATGACTGGAGTTTGAGTGGCCGTCTTGAACCACAAGGAAGAAATTGCACACTGGGAGCAATGCGGCCAGGTGATCCATCCGTAGAGCCGCCTGTAATAATTGTGGAATTGCTACACCTGTCCCAGGCTGCCAACATCTGGATTTCATTGACACGGAAGAGAAATAAATGTATACTTAATGCTATTATTTACGTTTTGTGTCCTTTGCAACCTAATTGAATCTTAGGCTATTTAACAAAATGCAAAGTTGTGCAATGCCAACTTACTCATAGCTACCTAAGAATGAACATATGTGTATCTGCTCCACAGGACATCTCCCAAGTATTTCAGCTCCCCATAAGCCAAGTTATTAATCCAAAGACAGACAGGAGCGTACAGCAATCAGGCTGTACAGCAACATGGCCAGGTTTCTTCACTGCACAGCCCCGCCCTCTTCCCTCGAGGTAGTGAAGCTCCTGTCCTCCAAGCCCTGTGTTTCCTCCCACCCGGGGAGCACGACTTTCTGTTTCCTCTTTTCTAGCTGAGAAGGAACCCGTCTCTTGTTAACATGATCCTTCTCCAAATTAGGAGCAATAAAATCAAAGATAACTCAGATCTTGTAGTTGGAATCAGATTTGAGTCCTGCTTTTCTGAACTTACATAATAGACATCTTAATTGAGCAATGACTTGTTTATACCAAAATCTTTTTTGTTCCTTCTTCACATATGCACAGTTTAGCTTCTTAATGCTTTTTACTGCATTTATTTTTTATTTATTTATTTTTTTTTTTGGTTTTCTTCCGGTATCAGGAATTGAACTCAGGACCTTGTGCTTGCCAGGCACATGCTGTGCCGCTGAGCTAAATTCCCAGCCCCCTTAATGCTTTTTAAATGCATAGGATGCTTCCTTATCTGATTATGTCTATGTTCTAAAGGATACTTTGTTCTATAACTAACTGCAGGAGACAAGTGCAAATGAAATAACCAAGTTTGGGGCTAAAGTCAAAGTTCAGGTGGTGGGGAAGCCAGAGGGACAAATTCCAACCCCACATTCCTACAAAAGACAACCAGAGGTGAAACTGGTTTTAGCACGGTCGTGGCAAAATCAGTTGCAGAGCTGCTGAAGTTGAGGTTCTAATCAACAACCGATAATATCTAACATGTGTGGAGCACTGGCCGTGTGCCTGGCAGTGTTCCAAGCACTTAAATAAGTCGCCTCACAACTGCAGAATGAGGCAGTACTACTGCTACCTGTGCCTGCCTACCGGGAACCCAAGAGCTATAGAGCCGCGGAGATCTGCTCAGTGGTGCATAGCAAGTAGAAGAGCTGTTACTCCATGTGTTCCTGATTCCATGGCCCGCAACTGTTTTATTTAAAAATTTTTTTTAATTTTTTTATTTTAAAGAAAATAGTACAAAAAAAGAACAATAGCAAAATATAAACAACACAAAGCAACAACATTAAAAATGATACAGGGCTTCAAACCAAATGATAGAGATAAACAATGGTTGTTATATTACATACTGTTATCTTCAATGAAGTTGCTCAGATTACCAGATGTAAGAATAGAAGATTGATCAAATCATTAAAGGGAATAAGAAAACAATAAAAGAACATTAGAGACAATACATATTGTCACTAGGCAGGATTGTAGGAATTCACCAATGAATATTACACTGCAAATTTTTGTTGTCACGTAAGTTGCTCAGATTGCCAGACACAAACAAGCAAAATTGGTCAAAATATTAAAGAAAAACTTTTAATCATTAACTGTTCCCCTCAACACATAATCAGACACTAACAGTACAGTTATGCCACTGATATATATATATATATGTAGTATATATATATATAGCCTTAGTACTTTCTTTTTCTTCTTTCCCTCATCCCAGTTGTTTCTTCCTTTGAGCAGTTTATTTCCCTTTCTTATTATCTACTGTACACTTTGAGTTTTATTTACTCTTTCATGTTCTTATACCAGAGAGACAATATGATGTTTACATATGTGGGTCCGATTTATTTCACTTATGAGTGTGGTCTCTATTTGCAGGTTTTTATGTAAAAGTTCCTTATAACTTCTCTTTTCCCAAAATGTGTGCAAGTGCTCTCTTATCAACATGCATTTCTGCATTCTCAGCAACATCAACTCTGTACTTACTGGTTTATCTGAAAGATGCTTGCTAACAGATGGATACTTTCTTTCAGGTAACAATATTGTAAGGGCTTCTGATTTCTACTTTTTTTCAAGCTGGAGATCCAAGCCAGGGCCTCTCCAATGCTAAACAATTGCTTTACCACTGAGCTGCAACCCCAATGCCTATATTTCACTAGCTACAGTAGCATGTCCCTGTAGTTTTTTGGGTTTTCTCTGTAGGCAGTCATACTGCCTACTCACAGTTTGCAAGGTGTATGTGTGTGTGTGTGTGTGTGTGTGTGTGTGTGTAATCCAGGGCCTCACGCATGCTAAGCAACTGCTCTACCTTTGAGCTGCACCTGTGCAGTGGTGTGCAGACAGGTGGGCTGGAGGGGGCTGGGAGTTGGGGAAAGCTCTCATTCGGAGCATTTTTCAGTTTCCATGGTGTAAATACTCCCACAACTATTGACTTCAAGCTGACAGTGCAGCTTGTAAAATTCCTGAATATTTAATAATTGACTCCAGTACAGCCAGTGCCAGCGCACCCCCCCTTGGACCCCAAGGATAGTGTGGTGGCCAAGAGTGGCCTCGCTGGCTGGAGTTGTAGGTGTCTACTGCCCACCTGAGGGTTCTAGCACTGGAGACCCTTACGTTTCCTTCAGTGCGGGTCCCCAGGTTGGCGTATGGCCCAGGGTGCTCTGGGAAACGCATCGCCGGATCACAGCCCTGCAGCCAGCAGGTGGCAGCACGCTTACAGCCGACCATCACCGCCTCCATAAAATGAGGGGCTTTGTTCTGAGCCAAAGGCTGTGTCACCAAGAGAAAGGCCCCGAGGGGCAAGCTAATCAGCTGTCCTTAGCTGACCTCCGCCTACGGGAGCCCGGAGGACAGGCTTCACAGCCTGAGCGAGTAACAACCTTAGCAAACAGCAGAGAACGCAGTCCCATCTCCACCCCTTGCCTGTCCTCAGGGCCAAGGCTTGGCAGGGCTGACTGACATCATGGAGAGAGACCCCTGGCCCTGTCATGAAGGCCTGAGAGCAGGATGGGTTTCCCGTGCCATGGAGAGACGCTCTTCATTCCTATCTGCCACTCCCGAGGCGCCTCACTGTGCTGGGCTGCGGTTTCCCCTTTCTACACATTCTCCGTGGTCATTCCTACCAGGGTAACCAAGCAGTTGTCCCAGCTTGTCTAGGACTGTTTTAGCACAGCCTCACACCCTGGGAAACCCTGTCCCTTGCAAAAAAGCCACTCAGCTACTGAATCGTCTTGTCCAGGCCTTGTACAGCACCTGCCCTGCATGCATCGATGCAGGTGTGGTCTTGCAGGACAGGGGCAAAGGTAGAATTACACGGCTGGCCAAGCTCCAGACAGGATTGGAGTGGATTCCATATTCAAAACCTGCTCCCTTTGCTTTTTGCCTGAGGTGAGAGCCAAATGTGTGAGGGGGAGACCCCAGGACAGTCCCTTGTTTGCCCTCTCATCCCAACTCTGGCCCCTCCCCTCTACCTCACTGGCCTCAGTGGCCTCAGCATGTCCTGTGCACCCTCTGCCCCACCAGACTCCAGCAGGCAGAGAACTCCGTGTTCCAGCGGAGGGTGGGGCCTCTTACAGAGGTAAGGTGGTGGTGGCCTTGGAGAGGAGGGCAGGCCGGAAGAGGGAAGCAGGAGGCCAGGAGGCACCCAGGAAACCCCGCAGTTCCCCGAAGCCCTCCAGCTCCTAGCACAGATGAACACATTCCTTTCTCCTGGAGCAGCTCAGGCCCCGTGGCAGTCATGCAACTTGTCTGCTTATGTCACCACTGAGCCCTCTGACTGCTTCCTTCTACATCTGGGTTGGTGCATGGCGCGGGAGAGTTAGGTATGACAAACCCTAGCCTGAGGGCAGGAAGCTTTGCTTAAACCGAGGCACAATGAAAATAACCTGCAAATTAAATTTGCCTGCTCTGGGCTTTGGGAGAAAGGGCAGGATCCTCTCCAGGGGCCCCTGGGTTCTGCACAAACTGTCATTATCTACTCTCCAATTTTCTGCTGGCACTTCTGGTGGTGGTCACCCTGGCCTTGTGCCCATCCCTGGGAGTACCAGGCTCCCTCCTGCCCTGGAGTCCTTGCTCAGGCCGGCCCCTCTGCCTGGTTTAGAATAGTGAGTAGCTGAGAAACCACTGTGAAAGGACAGAACGGAAGCTCGATTTGAAGGATGAGAAGGGGTCCTATCGTCAAAGCGGGCAGTAGGGATGGACAGTCCATGTGGCCTGCATCAGGCCTTGTGTCACCCTGTTAGGGAAAAGTTAGCAGGGAGTTAGAAATGGACCTCTCCTGGGTTTTTGTTTCACGTTTTTTATGTCACCACCCATCCCTGACATGGAGCTGTATCATCCTCAGTTTGTTCATGTTCTTATTCCAGTGGTGAGAAATTTACACAGGCAGAGCCTTCTCTAGATAAAAATTGACTATGCAGGTGAAATCCTGCTGACTCCAGTCTTCTGGCCAAAATTTGGATTTGCTGGAGCCTGAATTAACCCCAGGGTGTCAATAGAGATTCTAAGGACGCGGTGATTTTTACTAAGAGCATTCTTTCACCTTAAAGAACAAAGGCTAAAGTTTGGACTACTTTTGGCCACCATATAATGGTGAATGAATTTTGAGTTTATTAAAGAAATATGGAGTTCGTGACATGGCATTTGCCAAGTCAACCAAATCTTAGATAAAATGTATGCCAATTCAGGGTTATTTTACTTTGTTTGAGATAGGGTCTTGCTATGTAGTCCAGGCTGGACTTGAATTTGTGATCCTCCTGCTTCACCCTCTAAATGATTGGATTAACTCTGGTTTTATAAGATAGGATAAAATCTCCAAAGCTTTGAGTGGATGGTGAGAGCCCTTACTGGTGTTGAAGTGGAAATTCTAATCCATCTCTTAGATTAGAGGAGACCATATCTGACACCCATGGGAGCCCCATGAGGACTCCTGGAAGGTGGCCATGCATGGAGCAGATCGTGGTACAGCTCCTTACAACCCCAGTCCCTTTATGGAGTGATGCAATGATTCCCACAGAAAATGTCACACTGTCCC